CCCCGCTTCCCCCTACCCCCTTCCCCTCTCGCTCCAGCTGGCTGGCTGAGCCGAGACGGCAGGCCAGACCAGAGCCAGGCCAGAGCAGCTCCGCCAGTCAAGTCAAGTCAAGTCGTGAAGCCTTGAAACCTCGAACTTTGAAGGTCACCGCTGCAGTTCCAATTGCGGATATCGCCGCCGCTGCGCTTTGCTCTTTTTGATCGTGATTGTGATGGATCCTAAAGTCAGGGAGTGGCTGGAGGACGCAGAACTTCCGGAGCTTGTCGACGTTTTTGAACGTAAGTACACCTGGTTAATGTCGAAGATTCCCCTGTGCATTTTTAGTCCCTTCCATGCCGGCATAACCTTGCTAGAGTTGCGCCGTAACGATAATGTCATGGTGTAATCTTATTACAAAGTCGACCCGCTGGTCCGGCATCAGCACAGTTGAGGTTAGGTTTTCGGTAGCCCACCATGCGATCCTTGGTAATACGCAGTTGCTGACGCACAGATTTAACTGATATGCCCATGTAGGTGAAAAGTTGACTACGTTTCGGAGGGTTCTGTCTCTTGGAGGAGAACATCTCAAAGAACTCATCCCACAGATAGGCCTCAGAGCCGATCTAAGTCGATGTTTAGAGAAACTCAGACAGGTTAGCTCAGGTTCATGAGTTCTTGTGTCTCGTCTTTAACCCTGTCTCTTTTGTAGTGTATATTAACCTCAAATTGTTTGGGACCCTTTTGAAATGGTACTTATTTATAACATAGTTCAAATTTCCTACTGTTAGCCTAATACTTTGTCACTTGTTCCAGTCTGATAAAGTGGCTTCTCCTTTGAGTCCGAGCCAGTCGCAGCCTCACTTACTTTGTGCTGATTTATCTGAGCATTCTGATGAAGGCTACAATTCACCTCAAATCAAGGTATGACATTCCATTGTTAGTTTTAATCATTGTATGATTTTCAATACTCACAAAGTTTGTTGCAACAGAAAAGTGCTGCTGTGTCCGAGGAACAAACAACATTGAGCCAGACTACGCCCAAATCCGATAAGCAGAGTAGCAGGAAGCGCAAGCAAGAAACTCATGACGAGTCTCCTCCTCCCAAACACATCTTAACTGCCAAAGCACTCGAGAACTTGCGTTCTCAGGTAGGTTGTTCAGTAAGTATGTAATGTGTTTTAACAACTAGTGTATGTCTTACAGTACACTTTGTTTTCAGGACTTCCGTGGTGTTATCAAGGGCAACATTGTCACAGAAAATGTGCTGCTGAAATACGAGGAGAAGGGAACTCTGGTTGATTATGATCGGGGATTAATTGTAGACCGAGCAGTGCAACATCTCCTCCAAATCAATCCAAAGTATGTGTGCTTCAGATAGTACTTTGTTGCTTTGGTGTTTCATTGAATTACAACTTTTGTTCCACTTGTGCTTTTAGACCTGGACTACAGGAACAATTACTTCTTTCCGAGAAGATTTGTGAAGTGTTCAAGTACGAGGAAGTAGTAAGTTGATTGCAAGCTAGTGTGGTTTTGGGAAAAAAACATTTCTTTTTGAAAGTTTTATTTACTCTTGTTTTTGTTTTTAGGACACTTACTTTGTCCCACCCAATGAAGTTAATAAGAATCCGTCTGGAAAGGTTGCAAACAAGGTGAAAAACTTTAAATTTACTCTGAGGAAGAGAGGGAATGGTGTTGCAGTAAAATTCAACTTCAAGGCCCATGCAAACAACAGCGAACTGACAAAACCCGCAGAGCTTGAAGGTATGAAGTTTGTTATCATGGAATAGGTTTTTTTAATTAAACAGTTCCTTTAATCAACATTTTACATTTAATTCAGGATCATGTGATTTAGAAGATGAGACCATAACAGCATCTATGATTTCATTAAAACATCAAAATACTGACTCCTGGCCAGAACTTCTGAAACATTGGGCTGCCACACATCGTATTCGTCGCATGCAACTCTTTGAGAAGATTGAAGAGTTGAATTCTGAGCCCCGATACCTAGAAGTAGACGAATACTTTGAGAAGTATCCAATCCTCACAGCATCAAATGGATACATGCTTGTAAGTAAAGTTTTTTTTTTTAGCTTTAGAAAGGATTTATGACTGCTTGTTCATAGTGGCTTTACCCAAATGTATTGGTTTTAAAAGTTAGATTCTAAAAATCAATTTAACTTTTTTGCAGTTGTGCCAAGACTTTGCTGAGCTTTTTCCTGGCAGAGAGAACTGTCTCCTTGCCTTATGGGAAAACCATCGATCTGTAATTATTTCTTTGCTTGAAGAAGAAACCCCCAGTCATGACAAGATCACACTTGAATTACTCAACGCAGCAAAGGCAGTAGAAGGAGGTATGTATATTTAATGAGCATTTTTTAATTTTGCTGTTTTTCATCAAACTTGGGATTTATTTTAACACTTTAAAAATTACAGATAAACAAGATGCTTTATTGCTGGCTTTGCTGCCAAACCTTTGTATGAAGAAGGGACGAGGCAATACTTCTAAGAAAATTCCTCCAATTCCCGCTGTCAGAAAATCTTTTTTGCTGCATGTGAAGGTATGTCTTAGCTTTTTCATTTAATTAATTAGGCCACTTTGTCACAATATCTAACAATTTTGTTTACACAGGTGCCAGGTGACATTGCACGTGAAGTTCGCAACTACTGTTCTTCACTGAAGGAACAAAATCTTAGGTTCCAACCTATTTTGATTGCGGTTGGTGCGACTTACTCTGATATATCTGCCTGGTATGTTCAGATTGAAGAAACTCGCTACTTATTCAAGACCGCACTGGCAGCACTTGACACCTGCTTGAAAGCTTTTTTTGCCTTGGATATTGGATATCCGTCAACCTCCTATGGAATATGGCTCTTCATTCAACAATACTTCTTCAAGATTTGTCTTCAAAAAGATGAGATCCATCCAAGGGTGACTTCTGTGATCAGCACTCTGAGAAGCATGATGGTCTGCAAAAAGTAATGTTTTAGCTTCTAAGTTTTAGACCTTGTGAAACAGCTTAATTTAGCT